TATATATATATATATATATATATATTATTTTTTTTTTCATGTATAATTTTTTCAGTGTACAAAACATGTTCTTAGTTTATTAGCCAATTTTGAAATTGGGAAAATGGGTTTAAAAAATAAAAATAAATAAATAAATTCTTGAGCATACAATTTTTTGAAAACGATTGATTATTATGTCAATTTTGATCCCCCCCAAAAAGGTAGTTTAGGGAAGAAACAAACAAAATCGTGTGGTTAACCTCAAACATTAAAGAAGTTATTGAGAAAGTGACATGAGTGGACGGATAAGTCGATGCGTCTTTAGTCTAAATCATAATCATGTGAAAAATTACTGTTTAGATACAAGGACAAGGTTTTAGGCACAAATTAAATAAATAAAAAATAATAATAATGCTAAAGTGTATATTTATTTCCTTACATTGATTTTGACATCCTCTTTGTTTTAAAAAAATTGTGAACCGGCAACTGTATTTTTTTTTTAAACTGTCCAATGGTATATTGTCACGCGACATAATATAAACAATTATGTAAAAGATAATGTATGTATAACATGATTGAAAAAATGTGAAATGTAAACTTTTAAATGACTAAGGTATGGTTAAATTCGAATTATGTTGCTGTTTATGTACGAAAATCATATACGATATCGGATTTGGAAAGGCTAAAAAAGAAAGAACTTAACATGCACGTGATAAATATCTTAAAACTTATTGACAAGTTGTTCGACACTCAGGATCAAAATTTTTGCTCTAGCCAAATGTTAAGTAAATTAGAAAATGTTAAAATTAGTGAACTCTTCTATTATTTTTATCATTGCCTCTCATGCGTATCATACAAGAACTCAATATAATGACATATATCGAAAAATATGTACAAAAGAGGGCAAAAAAGAAAAAAAAAAAAAAAAAGGATCGAGCTACACAAACATAGGGGATGACCGAACACACACACATGGGAATCGACATTTTTTAATTCATGTGGGACCCACACACAATGTGAGGGTCGATGAACCAATGTGTCACCAAAATTTGGGCAAAGTGGCTTTTTTTTTATAAAAAAATAAAAAATCAATCATACTACATGAACATCAAGATTAACATAAAACTTGATAAAATGTCACGTGATATTTTACCATTTGACAGATTAAAATATAGACAGCTTTTGTATTTAATCATCTACTGTCACGTGTAATTATGTCAACTTTTTTGTCAAATCCTTCTGACAAAGTAGTTTTATTTGTAAAAAAAAAAAACTCTAAATTTTATTCGGCTCCTAGACAGTACTTTCCATATTATTTATGAAGGGCCTGATTGGCCCGTTATATTACCATATTAATTTAGTGCATTTTTGGCAGAAATTAAATTACAATTTAATTGCATATGAACCATAAATAATATTTGTTCACTTATAATCTACATATTACATAAGATCTACAATTTATTATTACTCAAAATAACATTAAAAAGTATAAAGACGGGAATCATATTAATTCACCTCAATATAAAATAATATTATTTTAGCTAGGATTTTCAAATTAATTTATGCTAACCGTATATTCAATATGGAATTATTACCCCATGCTCATTCTATATTTTCTCCTTGGTTGACGATAGTAGATGCAATACAAATAATTTATGCAGCTTCAACATCTCTTTATCAATAGAATGTAAAATAATAATAATAATAATAATAATAATAACATATTTCTCTGTATTTCATATTAGTTTCATAATTATAGAAATTGATTTTATCATTGATAAACAAGACTCAATAGAGCCTCTTTACAAATAATCTCTCAAGGATTTATTAGTGCCATATTTTTCTTAGCAAAAACGACACTACAAGAAAATCACAATCAACAATCATATAATTGATCATAGAATATACATTTTTGGTTGTTGATCACATTCAACGACCAAAATGAGTTGATTGTTCCTTGATTGGCAAAGAGGTGTTGACGAATGTATTCAACGACTAAAAATACGTTTGGTTGTTAAATGTATTATTTCAACAACTAAATAATTGGTCGTAAAAGATTTGTATTGACAACCAATTCTTTTTTCAATGACCACTTGTTTAGTTGTATCAACTATTTTTGTCATTAAAATACAATAAAAGTAACCAACTTTTAGTTACCTTTCATTTCAACAACGAAAAAATGGTCGTTAAAAATACTATTGACAACCAATTAATTTTATTTCAACAACCGCTTCATTTGTCGTTATATTTTAATTATTTTTGTTGATAAAATATCATAGTAGCAACTAAAATTTAGTCGCCTTTCTTTTCAATAACGAAAGAAGTGGTTGTAAAACAATTATATTAACAATCAAAATATAAAAATAACGAAAAATATGATTGTCAACAGTAATATTCACAACTTCATAACTTTCACACATTCACATTAAACTACACGCAAATCCTACCCACAATCATAAACAATTATAACAAGTGAAGGATTCCACGACAAGGTTTACACACAGGGCCATTGGCTTTCAATATCTCGCTTGTCATTAATTCGTATAGTGCTTTTAGTTGGGATCGCCGAGGGTGTAGAACGCTTGGGTTATTTTGCTAGTATCAAAGGTAGTCAATGTCTCAACCATTCTTCTCCCACAAGAATTGAATTCTCTACTCTTGTTTCTTTCTCTTTTCCATTCTAGCTCTCTCCCTATGATTTATTTGACATGGGCAAAACATTCTATTAATAACAAGAAAAAAGTAGCAATTCAGTTTCAAATGGTTTAAGCATGGAAGCAACCTACTATGTAACAACTGTAAATAACAATAACAAGAAGTAAAAATTTTCAGAGCCTCCAATCAATTAAAATATGTCAACACCAACTACATGTTAATTATATTAACTATCATTAAAGAAAATTTTACACTCAGCTTAACCAATGGTATTCTCAACATAAAAAACAAACAGATGTAGAGATGAAGACTATTGCCTCAATCTAAGAAAAATATATAGCTATCAACATGTCACCCTTCTCATTCACCCTGTTAATAGCATACTAAATGGAAGATTTCTCACAGTGCTATTTATACTAGATATTACATGTAAATGTAGAATACCCAAGGAAAGATACCATAGAGGGGGCAAAATTATGAAGCTGGGTCCAATCCCAATCATCCCTATTGCCTCCAAGCACAAAATTTTATCTTTTCCAATTTTATCAATAATTGAAGCCTGAAAGACCTCTACTTCATAGATTTCTCGTTATACATAACTAAGTCCAAACAACAAAATGCTTTGAATATTAGGAGTAGAAACTTTTTAATATAATCTGATATTTTCTTTGAATACTGAGAAAACAGAAATTCTCTGAATAGATAAGCAATTTAAAAGGGCATGAAATTTTAGATCTTTCCCTTTCAGTTTCTAGACATGAATTCCAAAAGAAAAATTGGAAAAAAAAAATTAGGGGCTTAGCAAGATGGCTAAGATATAGGGTGACAACGGATTCAAACCAGGGCAAAAAACAAGCAGATTACAACTTAGCTTGATACTCACATTCAAAGATGACGAGAATCTAAATCGAAACAAGATAATCATAGTTAATGCTTGCCCTAAATTTGAAATCAATTTTACTAATTGTCGAAATAGAAACCGCACAATAAAACACCCAATAAAAGAGAGACGTTTACATTGAAATACCTTAGGATCTGGGAAGCCAAACCCTAGATCTTCAAATCTTCTACACTTTGAAGCAGAAAAGCAACGAAACAATGATCCAAATCTGAAAATAGACACGGATAAGCGAAGTAATGTTTAAGAAAACAGTCAAAATGTTCAATACTGACCTCAGTTCGCCACGGAAATGGAAATCCTTACATGAAATACCTTAGGATCTGGAAAGCCAAACCCTAGATCTTCAAATCTTCTACACTTTAAAGCACAAAAGCAACGAAAAAATGATCCAAATCCGAAAAATAGACACAGATGAGCGAAGTAACGTTAAGAAACCGGAAAATTTTTACAAGAAAAACAGACAAAATATTCAATACTGACCTTAGTTCACCACGGAAATGGAAATCCATACAGAATTTATCGAGTTCTTTTTGCGGAATGGCCAAAATTTTGGAAAATCGGGAAGAAATAGAATCTCGCAGAGAAAATCGAAACAAAGGGAGCTAGGGCGGGAAACGAAATTTTGTAGGGCACTTTTATCTTTTACCTTTTTTTCTTTTGAAAATTATTTTTACTTTTTCATTTTTATAGGAAACTGATAATTAGTTTACTATTTTGGCTTGTTTGGTATAGATTTTATAAAATTGAATTTTTTGAAAAAAGGTGTTGCAGAAAAGTGAAAAAAAAAAAATTATGGATCTCATAGAATATACAGTTGAAAATGTGAGAGAAAAAATATTTTCCTCTACTTCCAACGCAATACAATCAATTGTTGTTTTACAATATTAACGACCAAAAACTGTGGTTGTTGAATATTTACTACATAATATATTTTCTAACAACCGATTAAGTTGTCGTTGAATATGTTCAATTATTTCGGCGGGAATTTCTTTTATTTGATTCTCACTTCTAACGACCAATTTTAATGTAGTTGTAAAAAATATGGAATCAACAATTATATTTTTGGTCGTTATAAGACATTTCCAGCTAATTTAAAATTCAATTGTTCATCATCCATTTTCTACAACCAAACTTAAAATTTAGTCGTTGAAAACAGTTTTTGACGACCAGATTGATATGGTCGTTGAAACAGTAGTCGTAAAATATCATTTTTTCTTGTATGATAGAATACGTCTCGTTTATCTTGATTGAATGGGTGAAATAACTATTCCAATGACAAAAATATTCATGCCGTTGTGCTCGTTCATCTCCATATGGCGTAAATAGTGGTATTCACTGCCATTCGATAATGAATGAGCACCGTTCATAATAATATGGTTTCGTAATTGCATCGATCTTTCAAATTATGATATGAAATAAGTCAATATATTGTACGATCTAATTTTATACCATGAACGCAGAACGTAGTTTGTGGACCATTATCCGACATAGGGTTGATTTGACCTAAATGGCGTGACATTAAAAGGTTTGAATAGGACCACAAATTTGTCCGACCAAATTAACTATGATAATTTGGTCATATGTTCGTCTTGGGAATTATCATTTTGCAGTCTGTATTGCATCAGGCACAACGAAATGTAACCCCATAATCGTTTTTCCTTCGTCGTCTTCTTTTTCTTTCATCACCAAACCCAAATAATTTATTTATTTATTTATTTTTATTGAAAAAAGGAATTATCCATTCAACAAATTGATCGTTTGTTTGGAAGAAATTTTTATAAATAAAATTATTTTTTGAGGAATATACAGTTAGAATGTGAGAAAAATTATGAAATTCATAGAATGTAAGTTGGAAATAGATTTGAGAAAAATAATTTTAAAATTTTTACACCCAATAAAGCTTCGAATGTCGATTAGATTCTTTCTTGTGGATGAGTCAGGAAATAAATATAAATAAATAATTTAATAAAAAACTTTATCTTTAATCTTATATAAAATTATTTGTCAAAATCTCATGTAATTACATAATAACTTATTACTAAATACTAGTTGAGATCATAATTAATAATATTAGCGTCATTTTATTTATTTATTATTATTAAATTTTTTTTACACAAATGTACTATGTAGACTAGCCATGTACCCACTTACATGCCAAGCGAGGGCAGTCCAACACATTATTTTTATTTTGTTCTATTTTCAAAAATTAATATGATTAATAATTAAGATACTAAAAAAAAATTGATTTTTTCCATTGCTGTGATGTGAATTTTGAAATATAAATAATAATTTATAAATAAAATTTGCTTGTAATAAACTATTTAGAAAAAGAGAGTATAACGATTGTTACACCACATCACCGCGGCTCCAGATGAAGCCTAGTGGTATCCCACGTGGAGCTTGCTAAAGCTCACCTTCGAAGGCTTACCTTTGAAGTTGTGAAGCGTTGATATTGAAGCCCTTTCGTCAAAGTGGTTAAGGTTTCGGAAGATCAATTCGAAGCTTAGGCATGAAATGGAATAGCCCACTTTTTTCAAGGATCTTTTATTGATAAAATCTTATTCAAATGATTGATGTGACCTTTGTAATGAGAAATATGTCAAATCTTGTCGAGCATTGATTGTAGGGTTGTTTCCTTCTTCAAGGGAATATGAGCCGGAACACATGCCCCAAAAGTGTGTTATTGTGTTGAACAGACTTAGCTTGGCAAGACATAAAAATAGGTCATTCCAATCACCTCCAGTGCCTAGAAATAGGCCTCAACTACCACCTCCCTTTGCGAGTCAACATTTGACCTCTATCTTGCTCTTTCACCATATAAGTAAACCTTTGTTGGAAGTTTCTAAAATAACTTATAAATTGAAATTTGCTTGTGTACCAAATGATATTCATTTTCTATCGGGTGAATTAATTAAGTAAAACCATGCAGTTTAACATCTATAGTTAGGAGGATCGTTAAAAATATGTTGGGTTATTAGTTTTAATATCTCGTTAGTAGAAACATCATGTTTGGCGTTTGTTATGTATCTTGACTTGATCCATTAATTTTTCTTTAATTTTTGCGTCGCAATGACTATTTTGAATGCCATATAGCAAACCTTATTGACTATTTCAAATGCCATGACAAATATTTATGCTACTATTTCAAATATTCTAGTCCAACTAACATTTTAAAAGAGTTCTTCATACTTTTTTTAAAAACAAATCTCATTAACTTTTGTCATGTAACTTCGATGTTCGACTAGCATTTGAAACTGGAGCCTTTGTATCCAGAGAAAAAGTCGACGTGGAAGAAATAATTGAATTCCATACTATAAATGCTCGTGGTTTGATATTTATTTATTTGATTTCTAAATAGCTAGACAATTACATACTATCAATTCTAATTATAATACAATATATATATATATATATAAAAAATAGAGTATGATAAATGATTCTTTTATCACATATCAATGCAAATGAAGAAGGCGATACACTATAACCCAACATATTTAAAACACTAGCATTAATTTTAAAATAATACAATCCATGCATTGCACGGGCAAAGACTAGTAATTGATAAAAAAGAAATTAGAAAAAGAAATTTTGCATCAAAGGTTCCAAAAGCTTTCAAAGTTGTGCAACGAGATCCAATTCTTTAAATTCTAGTAGGTACGTTCCAAACATTTCAATAAATGTGTGGCATAAAGACCTCTGTAAGGCTCGTTAATTGAGCAGAAGTCAAGACTTTGACCATAACGAAGGAATTTTATTTTATTTTTTTAACTTCTCCCAATTCTCCCAATAATCAATTTTTCCTTCCAATTTAACATGAGTGGGCCGATCCAAGGGCCAGTAGCTAAAAATACGGATGGCCCATAAAAAAAACAATTAATTGGCCCGTGTTAATAATAATAATAATAATAATAATAATAATAATAATAATAATAATAATAAGGGTAATTGGCGTAAAACATCCTTACCTTTCGAGGTTATTGTGGAAAACGTCATTACCTTTCATTTTTTGGCATTTTTGCCCTCATTTACCACCTTTCTTGCGCTGAAGGTCCTTTTCACTGTTTTTTGACGATTTTGCCCTCTATTCAAATAAAAGAAAAAGAATAGAATAGAAAACAAAAGAATTAATTGCAACTAATACCCCAAAATTTCAAAAAATTACAAATTAGTAATAAATATAAGAGTTAATAGCCCAAATGGTTACTAAACTTTGCCAAAGGTCCAAAAAGGTCATTGAACTTTTTTAAATACAAAAGGAAAAAAAAATCAAAAAAACCAACAAAAAAAATTGAAGAAACGGGCCCACCAACAAAAAAAGGACAAAAAAAATAATAAAAAAAAATAAGGAATGTGAAAATGGAGGAAGGTGAAAAGTAAACCAAAAATTATTTTTTATTTTTTCAATCGTACATTTTTAATCAAAATTTATTGAAAATTTTATTTTTACTATATTTATTACTAATTTGTAATTTTTTAAAATTTTGGGGTATTAATTGCAATTAATTCTTTTGTTTTCTATTCTATTCTTTTTCTTTTATTTGAATAGAGGGCAAAATCGTCAAAAAACAGTGAAAAGGACCTTCAGAGCAAGAAAGGTGGTAAATAAGGGCAAAAATGTCAAAAAATGAAAGGTAGGGACGTTTTCCACAATAAGCTCGAAAGGTAAGGATGTTTTGCGCCAATTACCCATAATAATAATAATAAATTTGAATTTGAATTTTATAAGATTGATGGACATCGTATCCATCATCCATAACCTTTTTTCCCCCCTATATAATTTTATAAGTTTGCAATGACCTTGGCGCTCTAAATAAATTATTTAGCATTAGTTTTGATAATGCTAAATTTAACCCCAGTTTGATGCTAAATTTTTTGATATACAATGTATTTGTCATATAATTAAGAGCAAGACAGTAACAACACAAATTTATAGAATAAGAAAAACTATTAACTATACTTCTTTTTCATATTCTCAATAACAAGAATTCAGAAAAATTTACAAAAGTTTTGGACAAAAAAAAGAAAGAAAGAAAGAAAATTTATTGATGATATTCCAAATAGAAGGATTCGACATTTCTTTGTTGGAATATTTCTAATATGGGCTTCATATTTGATTATTTATTTTACGGATTAAATGTATGGCCCATAATGGTATCAGTAATTGGGCCAAATTTATTAAGCGATCAATTGAGTCTTTTATACCTTACGTGCTATTTTAATATGATGTGACAATTTTAAGTATGTCGACCGGAAGTAAACCTCAATTAGAGTTTTAGTTGTAATGGGACGGTTCAATAATTTCCTATATAAAGGCTAGGTCCCCTTCTCCTCTCCATATTGTTTTTATTAACTTGCCCCCATTGACCAAATTATTTGTGAGGAACAAGGAGGGAAAGATCAAGCTGCTATTATTCATATTAACAACGGCTTCTACGGGTATAAATTCAATTTATCAATTTATAGTTACGTGATTCTTGATTAGCATGATTATAATTAAATTCAACATTCTTATGCTAAAGTCATCTGTTGCCTATAAATAAATGTTTATTTAAATTCGAAACCAATTTCTTGAGAAATCGCATTAAGATTATGAAATTTTTTAGACCTTTCTATAAAACAACGAAAGCTTGTTCAAGGGTTTATTATCCAACAAGTTATGTTGTACTTTTA